TCAGGATGGTCTCACCAGGCTATGAATTTCACTCACTAGAAACTATAATAAGGTTAAACTGGATAGAAACTGCAGTAAATTATCTGAAAACGATCATTAAAATTCATTTGGACTGATTTCACCTTGAGAAAGACCAGAGGAATCGAACCCAGATCGATGAACTTCTGGTGCAGCTGGACCTGGAAACGAGGAGCCGACCAGCTTTAATCTCACGTTTGGATTAAATGTGTGTAAACTAGGATAGGCTAACTGTAGCGGCTGTGCTACTGGCTGCCGTTAGCATTAGTGGCTACATTAGCACGGTGTGCAATAGGTCTTTCATCGTCAGTGTTCTTCTAACGGCTCCGTGCAGCAGGGGCCCCTGGCAACATGGCTCCCAGCGTCCTGCCAAAGCAGAACTATTGCTACAGATTACTGGGACATTTTTCACCCGATGCTTCCTGCATGGAAATCAGTTCATCTGAAGCTGAATCCTGCTTCGTCTCTAAACATGGTGTTTCTGTAAACCTGTGGGTCGGTGCCGGTTTGATGAAGATCATTTCCTGCTCTGCGGTAAATTAAACCTCCTTTCCCAGATGAGATCTAAGCTGCTTAATCAGATATTTGGCTCCATTTCTGTTCTGGAAATGAATAAAATCTGAACACAGCAGCAAAGGGAAGATGGCGACGTACTCGGACGATGCTGTGGAGTCTGACAAACAGCGAGATCAGAGTGGTCAGCACCAGCGGCTCCTGAGGGACAGAGGAGAAGCTGTTAGAGCTCAGGACTTCACGAGCCGGGCGGTTTTCTCCAGACGAGGGCGCTTACTCTGAGCTTCTTAACGAAGGTGATGAATTTGCTCCTGGATGTTGAAAGAAAGCAGAATGAGGATCGAAGCGAGCATTTAGGGGATTAAATGCAGCCGCCTGAGGACTCACCGCGGCATGATGCCCAGAGACGACTCCCTCTGCCTGATCAGACCCAGGCGCCCGTCGCTGCTCCTCTTGTGCTGGACGGAGACGCTGCAGACCTGGACCACCACGTCCCACAGCTCCTTGGCTGTGCGCCGGCTCTCTTTAGGACCGGGAAGCTCTTTGCAGGTGGAGGCCAGGAGCTGGCCGAGCTGCAGGAGGGGAAACGGTTCAGACATGCGGCGCTGACCTCCAGACGCCAGCTACACGCTGCGGCTCACCTTGATGTACGGGTTGTTCATGACCAGAGACGGCGGCACCTGCAGCGTCAGGTAGTCGTTCTCTCTCCAGTTCAGCATGAAGGCGACGCACTCCTCCCCGATCACCTGACGCAGAGGAACGTCTGGAGAGAAACCAGGACGACATTCAGGAGGAGGAGGAGCTTCAGAAGCATGGGCGCGGCGGTCCGCTCGCTCACCGTGAATCCTCATCTCCAGGTACCCTCTGACCCGGCTGACCAGGTCGGGCGGCGGCCGCTCCTTGCTGCCCTCGGCCGCCGTGGTTTCGTGAGCGCGGACGTCCAGCAGCAGCAACTCGTTGAGCATCACCTGCCGCAGCTTTGGGGAGAACTCGGTGACGAGCTCCAGGCAGGCTGAGAACAGCTGGCGGGCGTGGCCAAAGTCCTGCGGCGACAGAGACGCCGTTTCCAGACAAGCAGAACCTAAACCATCAATTCTCCCAGCAGGTTTGGGTCTGAGCTCCATTCACTGGACTGCTGATTGGTACATTGGTGTGTGTATATACACACACACACACACACTCACCGGCCACTTTATTAGGTACACCTGTCCAACTGCTCGTTATCACTTAATTTCTAAGCAGCCAATCACATGGCAGCAACTCAGTGCATTTAGGCATGTAGACATGGTCAAGACAATCTCCTGCAGTTCAAAGCGAGCATCAGTATGGGGAAGAAAGGTGATTTGAGTGACTTTGAACGTGGCATGATTGTTGGTGCCAGAAGGGCTGGTCTGAGTATTTCAGAAACTGCTGATCTACTGGGATTTTCACGCACAACCATCTCTAGGGTTTACAGAGAATGGTCCGAAAAAGAAAAAACATCCAGTGAGCGGCAGTTCTGTGGGCGGAAATGCCTTGTTGATGCCAGAGGTCAGAGGAGAATGGCCAGACTGGTTGGAGCTGATAGAAGGGCAACAGTGACTCAAATAACCACCCGTTACAACCAAGGTGGGCAGAAGAGCATCTCTGAACGCACAGTACGTGGAACTTTGAGGCAGATGGGCTACAGCAGCAGAAGACCACACCGGGTGCCACTCCTTTCAGCTAAGAACAGGAAACTGAGGCTACAATTTGCACAAGCTCATCGAAATTGGACAATAGAAGATTGGAAAAACGTTGCCTGGTCTGATGAGTCTCGATTTCTGCTGCGACATTCGGATGGTAGGGTCAGAATTTGGCGTCTACAACATGAAAGCATGGATCCATCCTGCCTTGTATCAACGGTTCAGGCTGGTGGTGGTGGTGTCATGGTGTGGGGAATATTTTCTTGGCACTCTTTGGGCCCCTTGGTACCAATTGAGCATCGTTGCAACGCCACAGCCTACCTGAGTATTGTTGCTGACCATGTCCATCCCTTTATGACCACAATGTACCCAACTTCTGATGGCTACTTTCAGCAGGATAATGCGCCATGTCATAAAGCTGGAATCATCTCAGACTGGTTTCTTGAACATGACAATGAGTTCACTGTACTCAAATGGCCTCCACAGTCACCAGATCTCAATCCAATAGAGCATCTTTGGGATGTGGTGGAACGGGAGATTCGCATCATGGATGTGCAGCCGACAAATCTGCGGCAACTGTGTGATGCCATCATGTCAATATGGACCAAACTCCCTGAGGAATGCTTCCAGCACCTTGTTGAATCTATGCCACCAAGAATTGAGGCAGTTCTGAAGGCAAAAGGGGGTCCAACCCGTTACTAGCATGGGGTACCTAATAAAGTGGCCGGTGACTGTATATATACATATATACCCACCTACATATATCACGTCTCTGTGGGGAGTACCAATATGGCGGACGGTGGCTTCACAATCAGCAATCCAGTGAATAAATAGAGACCAGTGCTCCCACCTTAATGGAGATGCAGTGGAGTCCTTTGGCCATGAGGATGTAGACCAGGTCTTTGGTCAGGCTGTCTTTGATGGCGAGGACCACGTTGATGTAGTCAGGAGGAACCTCCCACTGGATGGACAGAGAGCAGCTGATTGGTCCAATCATCCACAGATCATTTACAGATTAATCAAGGTTAGGGGATGGGGTGGGGTGGTGGGGGGGACCTTGCTGTTGACTCTCCAGAAGGGGCGCTCCGCCATGCCGTGGAGCTCGATCAGGATCTGTCTGATGCGGCGCGGCTCCAGAGACAGGATGAGCTGCTGCTCCAGCTGGCCGATGTTCACGCTGGCGGACGCTGCAGGGACAGAAGCTCCGACTGAGACCCTCTGAGCAGAGACCCGCAGGGCAGCAGGGGGTGCGGCTCCTTACCTGGGATGTCGTAGAAAGACGGGAGGGGTTTGGCGCTCAGGTTGACGGTGGCCGACCTCTTCCTCATCTGCTCCATCAGAAGCTTCCGGTCCTCGTCTCTCAGCAGCTCCACCAACAGCGGATGGGACGTCATGGACAGCGCCAGAGACAAATCCTCCAGGTTCTCACACAGAGTCCTGCAGCACAGAAACGCACCTGCTGTTACTGTCCGACTAAAACCTCCGCCTGATCAAAGATCTGCTGCAAAGTTAAAACCCAAAGCCTGAAATCTACAGACTTCCAAAGAACATTCAGACATCAGCAGCAGGAGGCGAGACGTTCAGACGGAAACAAGGAACCATTTTATTTAACCGCCTGCAGGTCCAGTTTATCAGGAGAGCGTCCTGAGAGCGAAACAGATGCTTCTGAGGGACGAGGATGGGGAGAAGATGGAGAGACGATGGGGAGAAGATGGAGAGACGATGGGGAGAAGATGGAGAGACGATGGGGAGAAGATGGAGAGACGATGGGGAGAAGATGAAGAGATGATGGGGAGAAGATGGAGAGAAGATGGAGAGAAGATGGGGAGACGATGGGGAGAAGATTGGGAGAAGATGGGGAGACGATGGGGAGACGATGGGGAGACAGTGATTTCATCCAGAGTGGGGAATTAATCTCTGCTAATGATTTTATTGTTAACTGAGCATAAATCCTCCAGCTTTGTTTGCAGACCATATAAAAACAGCCTGGGAGCCGTAAACGGCCCCTGAGCCGCGGTTTGGACCAACCGGGTCACAGCAGAACAATCTGAGGGAAAAATGGACAAAAAGAAGAAACGGCTGAGTTCTGCAGTAGGACCTTAGAGGTCCAATCATCGCTGTCCAAGCAGGACTTCTGATGTCTTCGGTATCTGATCCTCCAATCGGGTCGGGTTCTGCTGACCCGGTTCTTTTCTGACCAACAATAGTTCTGCATTAAAGCCCGTTTGGACCCACTGCAGAAAGGCCAGAACAGAACCACACCTTCATATCAGCTGTGGTTCTGCTCAGACTCACCTTAAGAAGGCGGCCATGTTTGTCCTGGAGGCCGGATCAGACGGCTGGTCTCGGTCCAGGGAACGCCTGCAGACCTGCAGCAGGAAGCGACAGGATGAGCTCCGGTACCGCTGATAGCGGCGAGGAGGGCGGCCATGATTCGGACCTCCCACCACGTCGTCCTACCTCCAACAGGAAGTCCACCATGGCCTTACTGGGCCTCAGCAGCAGCTGCTGGAAGCGGACGCTCAGAACTTCTCCTTCCAGAGCGTCTCGGACCGCGTTGCAGACACACAGCTGGTGACAGACCTCATCCAGGCCCGGTTCCCTGCACACACAGAACCCATTAGAACCCGGTAGGTTCCGACGGCACGGGGCCGGCGCTGGTTGCTGATCTGAGATCGGATCCGAGGGGTTCTGGTCTCACCCTTGCTGGACTCTGTACAGCAGCTCTCTGAGGACGGAGCGCCTGAAGTGGGCGGGGAAGCAGCGGGAGGCGTTGTCCTTGATGAACTCCTCGACCACGGCCTGCAGGGAGAACGTCGCACACGTCATCCCTCCTCCAGAACCGCTGCAGCATGTCACGGCGCCACATCGATGGCACCAACAAGCAAAATAAACATACTGGGTCGTACGTTACACTTCTTCTGCACGTAGTTTATCTACCACCGCTCAACTGAGACACACATGAGCAAGAAACTGCCGCCTGGAGAGGAGAAAATCACCCTCAGCGAGCGCTAGCTCCTCCCACACGGGCTCAGGATCTCACCACACGTACGATTGTCTATCCAGCGACCACGCTACAGGATGGCCGCGCTCTCAAAGCGTCTCCGCCCTCAGACTGATTTTCTCCTAACGTGAAAGAAAATGTGTTTTGACAGGTTGGGCGGAGACAAACCTCTTCTGAAAGCCTCCTCCTGATTGGGCCTCACAGACACCATCACACAGGAAGTGGCGTCAGGATGCCTTTGACTGACGCTTTCCACTTACCCGACGTACCGCAAACGTTGGAGAAGCCTCCTCCACTGTCCCGCCTCCAGCCGCCGTCTTCACTTATGGATGACCAGCTGTCAGTCAAAGGCTAACCCTAACCCTAACCTCGCTCTGCTAGCTGCTCCATCTTCGCCAGTCGTTTTCCAATATGGCGGCCATACAAACAAAACAAGCTGATAAGGAACCAAACAGGAAATACGTATAGAGCGGATGTAGATCTGACCAATCAGAGGCCTCCTGTCTGCAGTCACCTATAATGTGGGAGAGGAGCAGCAGAGTGTCTGCGGAGGGGGCGGGGCATATCTGCATAAACTGCGCAGACGCAGACGACCTGCGCATAAATCCGCCTTTACATACACGCCTCTATGTTTATTTTTCTCACGGGTGTTTTGAGATAAATGTGGCGCGGTATGCTCCTCCCACCTGGTAGTCGTGCGCCCGGATCAGGCTGTTGATCTGCTCATATCGGGTCATGTGGGGGTCGGCCGCGTCGCAGGCTCCGGTTAAAGCCTTGCAGGCGTTCCAGTAGCCGGCCAGACGCTCCTCGTCCAGGTGGACGTGGACGGACTCGTCCAGCTGAGACGGAGAACAATGAGGACCAACTGGACTTTGGATCAGAACTGTGAGCTTCTGTGAGATCCGGTACCTTCTTCAGGAGCTCCTTGGTCGTCCTGAAATGCTCCCGAGCTTTTTCATAAGCCGGCTGCTCGGTGCAGCCCTGCTGGAAGAAGATCCCTCCCAGGTCGTAATGGACCTGAAACAGAACACAGGTCAGAGGTCAGAGGTCAGGAGGTGGAGCGGGTCCACCCTGAACCCGAGCAGCCGCCCACCTGGCAGTGCAGCTCCTCGCCGCTGATCCGAAGCCCTGCGGTGGACGACTCCGTTTCTCCGTTGGCGGCGGCGTCAGAGCCCAGGAGGTCCAGCGTCCTCACGGTGTGGACGTAGGAGCCCTTGTTCAGGCGCAGCGCTCCTTCCAGGACGCTGATGGAGTCGGCCGCCTGCTCCTTCAGCTGGGAGGAGGAAACACGGCTTCAGTCAGAGGAACGCAGACCCCCCCGCCTGGAGCGGCACCCATTCAGACCAACAGCAGCAGCTCACCACAGACAGGATGTTCTCCGTCATCTCCTTCTCCTGCTGGACCAAGTTCAACCTGCAGCAGAGCAGAGGAGCCGTAAGCCGGGAGGAAAACCATGAAGCTGGAGCTGGTTGACAGTTGCCTTTTGTATCTATGCTTCTTTTTCTATGTCTGCTTCTGTCTCCTTGAACCCCAGTGGGCCTCAGCAGATGGCCGCTCACACTGAGCCTGGTTCTGCTGGAGGTTTCTTCCTGTTCAAAGGGAGTTTTTCCTCTCCACTGTCGCTACAAGCATGCTTAGTGTGAGGGATTGCTGAAGAGTCAATGAGTCGATGCAATCAGCTGGTTTTCCTTAGATAGAAAACTTTGAATCAATCTGACTGGATGATCTGGTGAACTGGAAAGTGACCTGAGATGACATGATGGGAATTGGAGCTATAGAAATAAACTGAATAGAATTTAACCTTGTTGGAGGACATGAAGCATCAGGCGATTAAAGACCTGATTTCTTCGTGTTAAAATTAAAAGATCAATCAGCTTTTCTCCTGGGATGTTTAAATCCTGTAGAAAAGCTGGAGAACAGAGGAACCAGGACTCTGGATCATCTTCCTCTTCTTCTGTTTCATCCTCTTCTATGTCTAAAAGGCTCATCTTGTAAATAAGCAGAGTTTATTATGCTACGTTCAGCCTGCAAGCAGCAGAGGCAGCAGAAACAGCCAGTTTAAGGCTGGTTTATATATATATATGTGTTTAAATATGGTTTAGATATGCCCCGCCCCCTCTGCAGTCACTCTGCTGTTCCTCTCCAAAATTATAGGTGACCGCAGAAACAGCAGCAAAGACGCTTCAGCCGCGAGTCAGAACTAAACTAAAAACAAGCATTAAAATGAAGCAGCACGCGCGTTTTAGCTGCTCCTGCTGCGCGGTCTGAACGTAGCGTTAGAGATTTTCAGAGATTGGATGTGTGACAAACTGATCCCTGTGATCCCATTAAAGCTCAGGCTGAGGACCAGTGAGGAGGAACTGGTTTGTCGGAGCAGGAAGAGGCTGGGAACTGAAGCCTGTCTGGTTAGAATCTTCCAGAAGGCTTCATAGAACATCCATCAGAAAACATGATGAAAGGTTTACATGTTCATCTGATGCGGTCCGGGTTTGGTCTGCTTCTCTGGAAAGCTGCTCAGCACGATGGTTCTGATGGCCCTTCGACAGAACCAGACAGAGACGTTTAATCCAAACAGAACCCGCTTCGTCTCGGAGACGTGAAAATAAGGCGGAGGTTCTCACCAGCGGTTGTAGATGATGACGGCCATGGCGGTGGTTGGAGGCAGGGTGGAGAGGTCCAGGTCCACATGCTTGACGCCTGCCGGCACTTTGCTGACACACAGCAGCTCGTTCAGCAGCATGTTGAGAACGGGGATGCTCAGACTGACCCAGAGGGAGAAGATGACATCACAGCCAATCACCGCGGTCCGTCTGAACCGTACGGCTCGACGGAAACTCGTTACTCACCCTTTCTCCAGAGAGTCCAGGTCCCACTTCATGTGTGCGGCGACCTTCAGAGCCAGCAGCTTCAGGGTCCGGTTCCTCCGGTTATCCGCCGGCGGCTGCACCTGGTTCTGCTCGTTCACAGACGGCTTAGACGCCTGCTCCAGGAACTGGATGATGAGCTGAACCGGGGGCGGGTCTGTTGGGTTGGAAACGAACACAGTCATGCATCAGCATAGACACCTCCGGTCCGGTCCGGTCCGGTCCGGTCCGGTGGGGGGAGAACACTCACCTGGGTTGGGGCTCTGCAGGTGTTTCTCCAGCAGGCTTCCATCCAGCAGGAACTCAAACCAGGAGACCTGCAGCGGCGTGCTGGGCCGGCTGCTGATCACAGCCGCCACCCGGTCGGCCGCCTCCGCACTCATCCTGCCCTGGAGGGAGAAATGGTCGGTGAGGAGACCCCAGAGGCTCCATCGCTTTAGGAAGCTAAGCTGTTTGGATCACGCTGTACGTCAGCCTTCAGGGAAATCCTATCCAGCTATTGGTCAACCGATAATCGGTATTAGCATCAGTCAGAATCTAACGGCTTCTGTTCTTCACCGCTTGGTCTGTGCAAACGTCAAAGCCTCCATTTTCGCTACTTGCACGACGATCGCAATAATCTGAAGCTGAACTGAAGCCTGGAGAGTCTGAGAAAAATCTCTCAGGTAGTTTTAGTTTCTCTGAGCTTCCTGCTCTGAACCTTGGATCAGATCTGCAGAGAAGTTTACTGCTGGGTGGAACAGCGAGAGGAATCATCTCCCTCTGAAGGACGAAGGATTTTAGGTGGTTTGGAGATGAGCCGACCCCCCCCCCCAGGGTAAAGCATATACTGTAAAATATCATGCAGCTTTTCATCTGAGGTTAAATGTTATTATCTATATGATCAGATCCATTCATTCTATTACAATATTTTCAAGGGAGCCACATTTATTGGAGCCAAGCTCCAGATTAGAAACATGATGAATCCTTTCTGATGACTTAGACTTTAGACTTAGATTTATTCTGTCATTTTGTACACAAGTGCAAACAAAAAGAAATTTAGTTTACAGCTCTCTAGACTATTTCATTTTTTAAAGCGCAGCCTTGATCAGGTTAGCAGCAGTTGTTGTTGAGCTGCTACTACAGCCTCCAGCTCCTGAAGCGCTACATCATCATCAGCTCCATCTAAATCAGCTTCTATAAAAACTATTATTATTATTAACACAATTTGTATAAAACAATAACGACGAGCCGTCAGATAACTGTAGCGTTATCGATCGTCTCCTGCTTTATCAGACCTTTAAAACAAAAACAATCAGGATGCGATGATTTAATCCGAGTTTAATCTGCCAGTGAAATTAGATTGAATGCAGCCTAAAGAATAACTTTCTCCAGATAGTGTGAGAAAGTTCTTTATACGGGGGGTGGGTTGGTTCCCCTGCTCTATAAAAGTATGTAGTGAGCTTCTCTCCGTCTGAGGATGTGGAATAAATCTGAACCTTATTTCTTGCAAGACATGCCTCCGTCTCAGCTTCCTGACTCCACACGCCTAACGAGGCTTGCTTCATTTAGGGGAGGAGCCAAAATAGATGGCGTCTGAAGCGACGCTACCATGTGACCGCTTCAGGAAGCGGTTCAGCTCGAACTTCGACAGATTCAGTCCAGATGTGGGAGTTTGTAGGAGAGTTATGGTCAGTTGGATACATTCTAAGAATAGATTGGTTGTTTTTCCAACAAATCTAGTTGGTTAAAACTATTTTGCTTAGATTAAACAATATATTGATCATTAATCTGAGCAAACCGCTGGTTAGTTGTAACATTACTGTTAAGTAGTATTGCTTTCTGATCTGCTTTCTTCAGCTCTATGACATTGATTATGTGACATTTGATGAGAGTTTGTAACAAGTTTTATTTGTGAACAATGAGATTTATTTGAGCGCAACATGCTTTTTTTATGTGCAATGTTTTGGCAGAAAATTCCCCCCATAGAACTGTAGTTCTGCACTCCACCAGTAGGTGGGGACATGTTCACCTGAAGCTTCAAAACTGTGGGGATAATTGAAGCAAATTGACCAAACGGTTCAATGAGGCTTCATGTCACCATCACTAGTGATCACTAGTGGTCACTAGTGATCAATAGTGATCACTAGTGACCACAGATCCTTCCTCCCAGCAGCTGGAAGACTCTAGAACCACCAATGTTCCCATCAACATCAATAAATTGTTAAATTCATGCAGATTTTGTAGTTTCTAGCAGTTTAATAACATGTTTCTGTCATTTAGCACATCTCTGATGTTGCTATTTTAAATTACTGTAAAAATGTCCATAGCTGTTTATTTTGTTATTTATTCTCCAGTTTTATATTGTTAATATTTTAACTAAGTTATTCTTAGACATTTTTCTAAGGTCTACGTTTGTGTGACCATTTTTTCTATCATCTTTTTTTTTGCTGAAAACACCAGGAGAGAATTTCTATTCTGTTTTATTCTATTTTATTCAGAGAAAAGAGAGCAAAGCTAAAGCTGCGGTAGTTTAGCAGCAGCTTTGTTTTGCTAACATCAGTTTCCGGTCGTTTCCGGTCAAACAGGAACCTTCAGCCTTACCTCCACTGACCAGGATGGACAATCAGAGCCTAAAAGATCCAAATGTGAATAAAAACATTAAAAAACGGCCCAGGGAAGCTGTAGGAACCGATTCTCACATAATTCATCCCGCGGATCGACGGCTCTACTTCCGGTTCCGCTACGTCATCAAGGGAAGACAGACTGCGCAG